TGCCCGCCAGCCGCGGGGCTGCGTCCTCAGACAGCTGCACGGGGAACTCATGCCCCCGGCCAGGGCTGGGACTATCCCTTGCCCAAGGGGGATAACTGGTGCTACATGCTTCTCACTCCCACACCTGCCCCAGGAGCTGCCAGAGCAGCTGGCCCGTGGGGGGAGCACAGTGGGCTGGGGGTGCTGGTGGAGGGCTGGGGGGAGAAGGGCAGGCAGGAGCTCTCCCAAAAGGTGCAGCCATGCTGAAAATGAGGCTGACGAGCACCCCCAGCTCTGAAGCTGCAGCCTGCCTGAGAGATTCACCCTCCCCACACCGAGCCCTGCCCCAGGCGTGTGTGCCCTGGGACCAAGTCTTGGAGCTCACCTGAGAAACCTCAAGCAATGTTTCCAGCAGCCCCCTGCCCCCTTTTTCCCCCACCCCCACCTCCAGGGCCACCCTGCTGCTGCTCAGCTCACCCTGCACGCACACACGCACACGCACACACACACACACACACTCTCTCTCTGGGCCTTAGCCACAGCCGTGTGGCAGCTGCCAGGCTCCCTGGTTTCCTGAGACATTTATTTCCCGCCTCCCACTGGGCCCAGGGAGGGGAATGCTATCAGGCTTGCCCCTTGGGGGTACCCCCCAGCCAAGCACTCCTGCAGGGGCAGGGCAGGCAGATGAGAGGGTGTGCTGCTCCCCCTGCCCCCCTAGTGCAGCCCTGTTTATTTCTGCGCTTGCTGGAAGGGGCTTGGGAAGCCGCCACCTGGGCCCCTGGGGGAGCTGTGCCAGCAGACATGAGCCGAGGTAAACACCTCCCTGGTGCGGCTGCTGGCACTGTGTTTTTCCTCTGCCCAGATCTTCCTGCCTTTGCAGCATTTTCAGCTCCTGTCTGCCCTGCCTGGGGCAGGAGCACTAGCCCCTTTCCATGCCCTGGCCCAAGTGCCTGGAGGGTCTCTGCAGCATGCGCACAGCTGCTAATAGCAGAGCAAAGCAGGTTACCTGCTGGGGGCTGGGGATGGTCGGAGCAGCAGCGGATGCAGGGACGGTGCCACCGCAGCCAGCCACTTTCAGAGGGGGAGAGCAGGGAGGTAGGGCCAGGCCCTGTCACAAGACTCAGAGTAGGGCCTGGCCCTGCCCCTTGGAGACAGGGAGCCAGCAGCAGGGAGAGCAGGCTGGGGCATGGAGAGCGGTCCCCATGGCAGAGGGAACAACCATGCACTGACTCTGTGCTGCCCTGACCCCTTCCGACTGGTGCCAGGCATGGTCCCACTCCCAGGCAATAGTTGCCTTACAGGGGCCCTGGGAGTGGGTCATTTTGTTAGGCAGACACATGCCTCACTATGTCCCCTGCACTGCCGCCAGCTCAGAGCCCCTCCCAGGGCCACAGGTGGACGGCAAAGGTGGTACCAACCTCCCTAGATCCACAACACACGCACAGGAAGCCTGGAGGGGGGGATGGAAATGGTCCCTGGCTCCTATCCCCACCCACAAGGCTTGGTATTAGCGACAGCTACACACACACACACACACACACACACACACCAACAAGTCTGTTTATTCTAACAGAAGATACCTCTAAGGATCCTGCGGGGGGGAAAGGGAGGTGTTCCCCTCCATGCTGTGGTTGGAGGTGGGGGGGGCCTGGGGCCCCCAGCCCAGAGGCGCACGCTGCATTGGTCTCAGCGGCAGGACAGCGAGTGCCAGGGGCAAGGGGCACCTGGGAATCACGCCTGGATGCTGGGTGGGGTGGGGGTGGGCAGGGGCGCTGCCCCTGGAATGTTCCTGCTGCCATACAGTGTTGTGGGTGCCTGGTCATGGGGGAGGGCGCCCGGGCGGGGAGGGGGCCACGCCAGCTACTTGCGGCTGAGCAGAGAGCCCAGCAGAAGCACGCCGGCCACCGTGGCCCCGGTCAGGAGCCACTTGTTGAAACGCTCCTGGCCCCGCCTGCTCTTGGCTGCAGCGTCATCGCCATAGAGATCCACGAACCGCTCCTGCAATGAGAGAAGAGAGACAGGGTGAGGGGCACGGATGATACCCGGCAGCTAGGCCCAGTCCTCACCGGTGCAGCCTGCCTGTCTGAAGGCAGATGCCCTGTGTTTCTGCAGCCAGTGAAAGCACCAGGTGCTGGGGGTGGGGTGGGCAGAGTGTGTGGTCAGCCTCTGACTTAGCCCTGCAGCTCAGCTGCCTCGGGGCAGCTCGTGCTCCCTCCTCCAGCATCATGTGTGCAGGGCAGCGGTGGAGGCACTGGGCAGTCATGAGAGGATCATGTGTCAGAGCAAGGGGCAGGGAGGACAGCCCAGGCAGGGGATGCACCATAGGCCTGGGGGGCCACAGGGGGAAGCTGAGCTGGGCGAAGCCACTGGGGACAAGAGCCCAGAGGCACACGTGGAACTAGGGCTGCACCGGTGCCTCCTGTCACCCCAGGCCCCTTCCTCCCAAAGCCCAACCCTGGCAGGACACTGATACTTTGGACCTGCTCAGAGCAGCACCCTGCCTGCCATGTTGTTCAGGGCAGCTAGATGTTCTGGGACACAAAGATCTTGGTTTCAGGGTGCAAGGCCAACGTGGGTCACAGCCAGGACTGCAGCCACTGGCCCAGCCTAGCCTCTGCCAGCCCTGCATTTCCTGCTTCCCAAAGTCACCCCACCTGCTTGAACTTTGAAGCCCACACAGGTTGAAACCAGGCCAGTGCAGAGGCAGCTGCTGACCAACTGCGCCCACGGCAGAGAATAGGGCCCACCAGAGCCAGCCTGCTCCTCTGGCCATACCCCCAGGTCAGATTCCTCCTGTAGCACCGGCACCAGGACACTGCATTCTTTCTGCCACCCCAGCGCCAAGAGCAGATACCCCCCACCTGCAGAACCCCCTGCGTCTGCCTCTCCAGGAGCAGCTGAAAGCCTTCCCCATCCTGACACCGAGCACAGGCTGCCTGGGATGCCCTACAGCTTATGGAAGGCTGCCCCAAGCCGGGAAGGTAGAGAGCTAGCCCCGGGGCTGCGGGGGGCCAGCTGCCCTGCCTTGGCCTGCCCGCAGCACAGAGTGGGCACTGCAGTGGCTTCTGCAGGCTGAGTCTGAAGACACCCCTGCTCCTTCCTGGGAGCAGCTCTGCCTGGCCAGGGAGTTGGCCCTCCATCAAGCCAGTCTCAGGTCACCCAGCAAGCAGAGCTGTGCTCTGAGAAGCCGCGGTGGGATGCCCCGCACTTGGACAATGCTCCTCGGGGGGGCATGAAAGCCTTTCTAGAGCAGGGCAGTTGGCACCCAGAGTGCATGGAGACACCAGTGCTTCCAACTCCCAGGATGCTGGCTGCCATGGTCTCCTGCTTCACCTGTAGCAGGTTGGGGTGTTAGGTCTGTGTTATGTCAGGGTTGATGGTTATGTAGCGTTTAGATTATAGATTGGATAGGATGGTTTGGACAGGGCTGATTCTGCCTCAGGCAGGGGGTTGGACTAGATGACCTCTGAGGGTCTCTCCCGCCCCGCTTCTCTACAACACACCTCTGTGATGCTCCAGCCTGGGACCACACAAGTCCCTGGGCCACTCTCTGACCAGAGGCCCAAGCTGGTTGCACCCCTGGGCAGCAGAGACTGCGTGCCACTCCATCAAGCTCCCAGCACGGGGAAGTGCACCCTCTGGACTCAAGCCAGTCCCCTGGGCCACCTGACATGGAGCCCTCAGAAAAACCCGTGAATTTTGGAGCAGCGGCGGGGAGTGGCGATAAAACCCTACCGCGAGGCAAGTTACGCCTCAAAGACCTTGGAGCTGGCCGGTTCCGCTCCAGCCCGGAGCCACAACAATCCTGCTGCCAGCGGGACACAGGATCCAAGGTCAGCAGGCAGCCAGGCTCCACAGCGCAGAACTTTACCCTGAGGAGGCAGTGCCACGTTATCAGTGATTGAGCGCTCCCGCTTTCTTCTTGCCGCCATGCCGCGGCCTCAGGAAGGGCCGGCCAGAGACCAGGGCGAACCACAGCTCGGCGGTGTTTTCTTTGAGTCTGGCTGGGCTGGTGGGCGGCAGCGGCCCAGAACACGCGGCGCAGAGGGAGGGTGAGCAGAGGGGCTCAGCGAACAGGAACCGGGACAATAACAAGCAGCAAGAGTAACCTTGCCTGGCCCTGCCCTGCAGGAGGCTGCTTGGGCCCAGACACGTGCTCTCAGAGCAGTCCAGCAGCACCTCTGCTTCCCCAGGGCTTGAGGCCTCTGCTCCTCCCAGGGCCGTGCTGTGCTCAGGCCACCCTCCTCCCAGCAGGACAGTTTCCAGAGTCAATAAATCTGGCAGCAGCAGCCGGCCTGGGAAAGCACAGATAAGCGTGCAAGGACCCATGCTGCATGGCTCACGGGAACTGGACAGGCAGCAGCTTGCTGTGCAGGCGGCTCCATCAGGAACCACATCCAGCTCCCGGTAGCATACTGGGGACAAGCTGCAGTGGCGGTTGCCATGGACATCTCCCAGGGGTTTTAGTTCCTAAGTTACAGCTGACTGACAGGTAGCTCAGCCAATTCCTTTCAGACCGGCTCCTTCACCAATGTTACATAAGAAGCAGAGGTACCCAAGGGGATGCTCTGGCTCTGGCTGCCCCCCTCCACGCTGCATCAGCACTGGAGGTTTCACAGACAATGCTAAGCTCAGGCCTGCAATACGGGAGTGGTGCCCCCCAGCAAAGCCGCCCGTTTTCTGCAGGGCTCCGTTTGGCCTGGAGCCCCTGGAGCAGACGGGGCCCTCCCAAGCCCCGAGTGCATGGAGGCTGTGGGCGGCCACGTCCCTTGCCTGTCTATGCTCCCTGCTGCAGCTGCCAAGTAGGGACCCCAGTGCCGTGGCCTCTCTGAAGGGGCTGCCTGCAGCAGCCTCCAATAAGTGCCCAATTCAAGCCTCCTGACCTCCCAGGGTCTAGCTGCCTGTAAGCATGGGGACTGATGGAGCACGTACAGGTACAGGCAGGGTTGCATAGGCAGCAGGGAGCAAACTCTCCCTTGCACAGACTGGAACAATCTTCCCGGTGCCTCCGGCCTCACAAGTTCCCCTTTGTGCCCTCCAGCAGCTTGCAACCCATGTGCTGAGGAACAGTGCCCTGCCGCACCGAAATATACTGCAGCCAAAGCATGGCCCTCCCTAGGCAACCGGGTCCCAGCTAACCTCCACCACGCGCCTCGCCAGCCCAGCTCGCTGATCGTGGCATTACGCAGAAGCACGACGGAGCTGGCATGATAACGCCATCCTTTTAAAGGACCACAGAGGTCGGGCAATTTCATGTCTGGGCTTTGCGGATGGGTCGCACCTACCATTATTGTGAGGGATGGATCATGTACACACACGCACCCCCACTCCTCCTCCGGAAAAGTGTAGTTCCCATGTCCTGTCTGCACGCAGGTGAGAGGGGAGGGACCGTGTGACGCATTTGTGATCACAGAGCCACACGCAGCACTGCCTTTGCTGTTGGCAACCTGCCCAGCTGGCACACGGGGATTTCAGCAGTGCTGCAGCCCCCATGGCGGAGGGCAGATACATCTCCCCCCGATCCTGCTCCCAAGCCTGGGGAGTTTAAACGCTGAGCAGGTCAGCCTCCCGTTACAGAGAAGAAGGGGGTGAGCAAGCAGCCTCCATGCATGGGGCCATGGGAACAGCAAGCATTTTACTGTGGGATCAGGAAGCATGTTCCCGATCTCAGGAGCTCGCTCTGCTGACAAAGCCCAATGGGCAGAACGCCCACAAAGGGACGCTGCAAGCTGTTGCATGCCCAGCACGGGTAGGGGGTCACCAGAGAACGGGCACGGCGAGAGCCAACTCCGGCCTCCCGAGAGAGCCCCTGAAAGGGGAGGTGGTTCAGGCGCTGACAACTAGAGTGTCAGCCTTGGCTGCAAGGCCAGTCCCATGGACACCCTGTGCCTTTGAGCCACGGCCATTTTCTCTGACGCAAGCTGCAGCCTGCACCCCCCGCCATGCCGGGCTGCCAGTGAATACACGGCTCCGGAAGATGGTTTGCTCCATCCCCAGGGAGGGGACCGGGGACGTGAACGTGAGATCCCCAACAAAGAGCCGCGTGTGATGCAGCCAAGCCCCCCATGGGGTGTGTGTCTAAAGGGTCCCTCCAGTTCGCCAAGATGCCCAAAGCAACACGGTTTGGTGCAAAGGGCACAAGGTCACTGCAGCCTCGCGGACTGCCATCTCTCCACACAGAGCGGCTCCTTTCTCAGCCGCCTCCCAGGGACAGCGGGGAAAAGAAAGCTGAGACAAAGGCTGCTGTCTCTGGCTGCTTTCCATGGCGCAGCTAGGTCAGGTGCAGCTACAGACCCCTCTCCTGCCCCTCCCCCTGCCGCCACGGTCTCCGCTTCCTCTCGGCAAGATCCTGTCCTTTGTTCTTGGTGGGACCGACAGCTCAGCATGTGCACGCATGTGTGCATGCATGCACATGTGTGTGCATTTGCATGTGCATGCTGGCAAATGCATGCAGCGGGGGAGAGAACCATGGAGAGTCTCTCACTGAGTCCCTTCTGAAGAAGGCCAAGGCCCTTGTGCCCAGTCCATGCACCCCACCACCCACTTGCCCTGCCTGGTGAATGGGGCTCCCAGGAAGGGGAGTGCTGGGTGAGGCATGACAGGAGCTGTCTTTCCCACAGTGAGCTCCATGCACAGTCTTATCCAGCCCCAGGAACCAACACTAGCTGTTTTAAGAAGGAGACTGGGAGATATCAAGACCTGCTGGGCACGGGGAAGCTGAAGGCTCCTTTGCCCAAGCCTTGGGGCTGTCTGGGGAGCTGGGGAAGGTCAGCCAGCATAAAGCAAGGTCCCTGCCAGAGCAGCCAGGCAGAGAGCCAGGAGGCTGGGCAGGTCGCCTGGCCCTCGTGCCCGCATGCTGGACCTGCCTGTGAGCCGGTGGACAGGAAGAATTCTGTGACGTGTTTTTGGGGGCTGTTTCTCAGAAATGGAAGTGCTGCAGAGTAAGAGATAACGAAGCAGCTGGCGAGGTCCAGATCTATCAGACAAAGCAGGAGGTG